ATACACACCAGATTTTATTTATCCATCAATAGATACTTGGGTTGCTTCTACCTTTTGGGTATTATGAATAATACTGCTACGAACATAGATGTACAAATGACTTTGAGACTCTCTCTGAATTCTTTTGGGTATATATCCAGAAGTGGAATTGCTAGATCACATGGTAATTCTGTTTAATTTTTTGAGGAACTACCATACTGGTTTCCATACGAACTGCACCATTTTACATTTCCACCAACAGCGCATAGGGGCTCCAGTTTCTCTACATTCCTGCCAACTTATTTTCTGTTATGGGGGGCTTTTAATAGTAGTCATTCTAATAGGTTTAAAGTGGTATCTCATTGTGGTTTTGACTCGCATTTCCCTAATGATTGGTGATGTTGAGTATCTTTTCATGTGCTTCTTGGCCATTTGTATATCTTTGGCGAAATGTCTATTCAAGTCCTTCACCCATGTTTTAATCAGATCTGTTTTTCCAAAATGTATCTTGATATTTTTTTTTTTGCCTCCACTTTCACCATCCAAGCCCCTGTTATCTTTCATGTGGACAAGTGTAATATACTTCTTAACCACATTTCCAGATTCCACTCTTATCTCTTTCCTTTTCATTCCACAGTGTAGCCAGAGTAATTTTCTGAAAATATAAAATTTAAAATGTCACTGATCTGCTCAAAATTATCTAATGGTATTCCATTGCTCTTAAGAAAAAAAATTCATGGGTTATGATCCTTTATGATCTAGATCCTGCCAACCTCACATTCATTCATTCCTTAGCACACTCTCCTTTGATCACTATTTTCAGATACATTGGCCTTCTGTTCCTGGAATATGCCAACCTCTTTTCCTCCATAAAGGCTTCATACATATTATTCCCTCTACCCGAAACACTTTCCCCCCTACTCTGCCCATTCATCTTATGAGTCATAACTTAATTTCACTTCTCCATAGAGGGCCTTCCTTAACCTCCTTCCCTGATCTAAATAACGTTATAATATCTTATTATAACGCACTTCCCTAATATCACCTATCACTATTTGTAAATGCATACTTGTTTTTAGATTACTTATTACACATCTCTCCACTCAATTGTGAGCTGTATGAGAGCAAGGACAAGTCTATTTTTCTAACACTATATCCCCAGCCCAAACAGTATCTGACACATAGAAGGTGCTCAATATTTCATGATTGAATAAATGAATGAACAAATACCCCAGATATGAATATTTAGAAATGTTAATATGTACAACTTTATACTAATAAATTTGAAATTTTAAGTTAAATGATTTTGCAAAAAGTTACTGAAATTGAGAAAGTGGCAAATCCACATAAAACCAGTAACTGTGAAATCACTGAAAAAGTTACCAGAGGGATATTTATAAAGTAAAGACAAATTATCTTTATTTGCAGATAGTGTGAATGTTTGGAGAATGAACAATAAAACTATTAGATCTTTGGAAGAATTTATGTGTGAGAAAGCCAATAAATTTTAGAGAGAGTAATCAGGGAAGAACATTAATACAATGAACAACTAGAAAAGGAATTGGCAGTCTGATCAATGGAACAAAATGTGAAGTCCAGAAAACGCCCTAGCATTAATAGAAATTTAATTGATACATGTGGCATTCCAGAGGAAAAAGACAATTTGGTAAGTACATAGCATGTTAAAGATTCATTAAATAATAAGTGGCCAATAAATATAAAGAAAAAAATGTTCAATCATAATTAAAGAAATATAAATTCAAACTACTAGACATTTCATTAAATTGACAGGTAAAAATGATAAGCAAAGGTGAAGGAAATTGGACATTTCTTAGAAACTGCTGCTGGGAGTATAAATTGGAGTAATCTACAACTCTTCTGGAAGTCATTTTGGCAGTGAGTATTACTGTCTTAGAAGCATGCGTGCCTTTTGATGCACAATACCATTTGGTGCAATCTACCCAATGCGTGTATGGAGCTACACAAAGATCTTGGAACGAGGCTGTTCATTACATCATTATTTATTATAGACAAAACTCTAAATGTTCAACAATAAAGTTATGTAAATCTACGGTACTGTTGTAAAAAAAAAAAGTACTATTAAGTCATTTAAAAAGTTGCATGAATGTGCCTATCGATAAGCAAAGATTCATAAATATTCATAAAATTAGCTGAAAAAAGCAAGTTACCAAACCTGTCAAAAAAGCTTTGTCTGCATATATAGGTGGGCCTGGAAAAATAAATACCAGAGCTTAAATAGCAATTGTCTTTGGTGAGAAAGCAGATTAAATTCTGTTTTTCTATGGAACATGCATTGCTTCTGTTTATTAATAAGGAAAAATAAAGAGCAACTTCATATTTAAATGCTACAATAAAAAGTGAAAATGGAAGCATAACGCAGTTATTTAAAATTATAATTATGAAAACTTTGAGGAAACTGAGCCAAATGGAGGAGTAAACAAAATGTTATATTTGATTTTAACTGTCATATAATGTATGTATATGGAAAACAAAAGGAAATAGAGAAAATGAACATAATTTACTAAGATGTTAGGATTGTAGGCAGTTTTCCCCATTGTCAAATTATTTTTTAAAATAAAGATTTATAAAAGATTTTGAACCCAGTTAATTACAATGATGAAAATGTATAGACCAGTGGCAGTCAAGAGATGGATGGTATGGGTGAGGGGTGAGCTTTAAGCCTTTGGTAATTACCACCAGTTACTTCCTATAAAACTTCACCAGAAAAAAACTTTACTAAGAAACTCAGCTTCAAGACAAATTCCTTTATATACAAAGATTCTAGAGCCCCAGTAATACAGACAGTTCTCACTTTATTTTGACCTCTTTCTTATTCCTGGGTTTCAGAACCATGTGTGCACAGTACTGCATCTCCTTTGCTGATGTTGAAAAAGCTCATATCAACATCCGAGATTTTATCAACCTCACACCAGTGTTAACAAGCTCCATTTTGAATCAAGTAACAGGGCGCAATCTTTTCTTCAAATGTGAACTCTTCCAGAAAACTGGATCTTTTAAGGTAACAATCCTTTTGAGTGTCATATATCTTTCACACTCCTTTCACATATAAATTTATCTGATTCCCTGACTGAATATCTTTTTAGAGCTGAAGGGTTGTAGAAATTTTCCTGGTCCTGGTTAATTTGAGCCACGTTTACACAACTTCGAAATTCCTTAATTAGGGTGATGATATAATTACTATCCAAACTAGGTCATGTTTGAGACAATAAGCATCACCCTGCACTGTTGCAAGGTAAAATGGGCAAGTGTGATCACCCTGTTTAACCAAGTGTAAGCTTTCGCTTTGTATCAACATGCTGTTGATACCTTATTGTGAACACAGAAGGCCTAAACCTAGCTAAATCCTCAAATAACAATCTTTTTCTACAAAACATGTGCCTTTCCTATGCAAAAAAGATACTTTTGTATGTAGATTCATTACCAAATTTTCTGAGCATTGGTTGAGCTTTAAGATCCTTTCAAATAAAAATCTGAAAGATGAATTTGGTATTGTGCCTGACAGGTATTACTTGTTAAGTAGTAGCTTTTAAGAGTTCAAGAATCTACTTTTTTCCCTACCCATTAACTGAGAGCTTTTATAGTAAAAAACTCTCCATTCTTGCGCTTTGCTTCTGCCATGGTTTATTCTTCATTCATCACACATCAATAGCTATTTTCACTAACTATACTAAGCATATATACAGTATGTCTTCCCCTATGTCCTTATTTGCAGGGGAAGACAGGCGAGGTGACAAATAGGTATACGAGAAGTGTCTTAAGAGAGATACGTAGACTGCTGTGGAAAAATAGAGAATGAAATGACTGATTTTGCCTGGGAGATCAAGAAAGTAGAGCCAGATGACTTTTGATCCAAGTTTTACAGGATGAGTACTTTTAGCTGGATCAGGGAGTAGAGGAAAAGAATTACAGGTTGAGGTTATGAGCATGCTCAGAGGTACAAGGGTATGAGAGAAATTAGAAACAATTTAGGATGGCTACAACAGTAATAGAGGCAATAGATGTGTTCTTGAAAGGCAGCAACCCAGAAATAAACAAAGGCAGCAACTTCTAAGAAATTTGCACTTTTCTTACAAAAAAGGCAAAGATAACATGTTTTTAAAAGATCACTTGCATAAACTAGTGGAAATATTAGATGAGAATGATCCTTGAGGCAGGATCAGTTGAGGTTTGATAACACACAAGTTGAGAAATGAGGCCTCACCAAGGTAGTGGCAAAGACAAGATATTTAGGAGATAAAATTGGTTACGATTCAGTGATAAACTGGACATGTAGTGTTAGGAAGAGAAAATCTAGAAAAGCTGCTTGATTTTTTGAAAAGAAACAAATCGATTACGTGAACTCTCCATCCCTCTTTTCCAGATTCGTGGTGCCCTCAATGCAATCAGAGGCTTGATTCCTACCACTTCAGAAGAGAAACCCAAAGCTGTTGTTACTCACAGCAGTGGAAACCATGGCCAGGCTCTAGCCTATGTTGCCAAATTGGAAGGTACTTGACTAATTTCTCAAGGTACTGGGTAGGATCATCAGAGAGGAGTGAAAAAGTATACTTACTTTCAGTGAGTTGGTGATAGCTATGGGAAGTAAACTTCTGAGTTCCTATCTGATTACAAGCAACTGGACAGAAATTTGTATACTAAATTCTCCCGATTTGTACTAAACATGTCTCTCAATCTCAGGGATTCCTGCTTATATTGTGGTGCCCCAAACAGCTCCCAACTGTAAAAAACTGGCAATTCAAGCCTATGGAGCCTCTATTGTGTACAGTGAACCAAGTGATGAGGTAAGGAAGAGAGCAATGTTCAGGACCACTTTAATAGCTTTCACTGTCAAGTGAAACTTCTCTTCCCACCTTACTGGGTGCTCCTTCTAGTCTCCTTTGTTTCCTCTCCATCTCTAAATGTTATCATGCCCAACCTTTTCTCTATCTACACTCATTCAGATATTAGTCTTAGTTTACATTACCACCTATACGCTTAACACTAGCCCTGACCTTTGCCCCTTAACCCAGATTTGAATATCCAACAGCTTCCTATTTGGATGTCTTATCAGGCATCTCAAACTTACTATGTCTAAAACCAAACTCCTGCTTATTCCCCCCCCATACTGCTCCTCTTCCAGTCTTCTCCATCTCCATAAATGGCAACTTTTATCTTTCTAGTTGCTCAAATGTTGGAGTCATCTTGGTAACTCTTTTGCACCTAACATCCAAATCTTAGTCCTACTTTCAAAATACTTACATAATCCAACTTCTAATAGCCTCTACCATTTAAACCAACATCAGTTCTCACGTAAGATTCAGTAGCCTCCTAACCGATCTCTGCTTCCAATTTGCCCAACTTGTCTGTTTTCAAAGAGCAACCAGAGCTATCTACTTAGTTACAACTTGTCTATTGTCAGCTCAAAATCCTCCAGTGGTTTCCCATGTCATACACAGTGGGAACCAAAGTTCTTCCAATCATATAAGGCCTTGATGAACCAGCCCATTCCTATCTTTCTGACCTCATCTCCCATTTTTCTCCCCCAAACACTCCACACCACACTAACTTGGCAGTTGCTCAGAAAGGCCAAGCACTCCTTTGTAGTCTG